GATAAAGAAAGAAATTTTTTAACAATAATAAAACTTTAAAAATTACATATAAAAATTTTTTGAAAAAAATATAATAAATAAAACTAGTATTGAGATATAATATATATAAATTTTATAATTTTTAATTGTATAATTAAGGATTTAAAAATTGTCAAAGTTAAATTTATAATAAAAACATAATAAGTAAACTCAAACTTTTGAAAGCAACTATATATAAATTTTTTTTAAAAAATATAAGAAATAAAATTAGTATTAAAATATAATATATATAAATTTTATAATTTTTTGTTGTATAATAAAGGATTTAAAAATTAATAAAGTTAAAATTTATAATAAAAACATAATAAGTAAACTTAAACTTTTGAAAACAATTATATATATATATAGTTTTTTTCTTTAAAGATTTTCTAAATATTATATATTATATATAAAGTTTAATAATCTTAAAATATAAGATCAAGAATCGAAAATTTTTAAAATTGCAAATAAAAATTTCTATTAGTATAAATATTAAGTTTTATTTCTTCAAAATTATCAAATTAAAAGGATTTGTGCAACTATAATTTGTTATCGTCGATGATGATGTAATTTTTTAAACACCGGTAATATACCGTAGCTCGTCAAATTCTGTAATTCTGTCGTCCAATGTCTTCAGCAACTCCAAGCTCACAGGACATCGATTTTGATTCGATTGATTTTGACAAAATCAATTTCGAACAAATTGACGTCGATAAGCTTGACCTTGCCGATTCTGGTATTATCCTCTCACTGCTTCAAACTCCACCTAAACCTGCACTGAGCATATGCCCTGTAGAAATTTGGTCTCAGACCATTTCATATATCGACGATATCTTTACATTGACTAGCTTGAATTTAACATGCATGACGCTTAGAGAGATATCAAGAGATCCTCTGTTACTGAGGTTGGTCCGTGAACCTCCTTTGGATAGACTTTATGAGTTTACAAGGGACGAATTTTTGAGGGAAAAATACGAGAGAGAAGAAAAAAATAATAATATGGGAGCCGAGAACGAGAATTCAGCTGTCATTGAGAAAAAGAAAACGCCTAAAGAAAAGTTTGATGATAAAAGGGATTTAAAAGAGGTTATATTCAAAATGCATAAATATGTTGATCGGTTATTATTGAGTGATGTAGGACCCGATAAGTGGACGGATAATGTGTTTGAATGGGTGGGTTATGATGAAAATAAAGATGTGACGACAAATAGAGAGATATTTAGGCGAGAAGCGGGTCGAATCGGCAAGGCAAAAACAAAAGCCTTTGTTGATTGGGAAGCGAGGATTGAGAATGAAAAGAAGATTATGAGAAGGTAAGTTGTTTTCAATATACAAACGTAATTCGTTTTTACAATTGTAATTGATTTTGTGCGCGTTTTATTCAGAGAACTTGCTAGGGTGTGGACTATTGCCGGGAAGATGTTTCCTTTCAGGTTATATTTAGTTCTTCACGGTTCATTATTGATATGTTTAAGGCTATTATTGATATTATGAGATTATCTTGATGATTAGTCACGCGGAGAACAGAGAGTGGAAAAGAAAGCGTTTGGAAAGAACCCAGGTTGACGAAAACTCGTCCTCCCCGCCCTCAGGGGAAAACAAGGAGAACGTTGCTTCGCAACAAAGAGAAAATAAGTCCATCCGAGGTACGAAGAAACTTGAATCAAAACCTAAACATTTTGCCAATTTTCAGGATCGTAATGTCGGGTCATCAACTGCGGGCTCGGGATCAAAAGAAAGGCGCTCTGACACGAGATCATCCTCAAATTCAGACGAGCCATGGAAATATTCTCATGAAATTCGTAATCAACTCAAAGCAAAACGCCCAAATTTGGATAAAGGTGAGAAGGAATTCAAGCGACAAATTTCAACGCCGTTTGTTACACCGACTTATTTTAGCTACGGAAGAACGTTCGAAGACCTAAGGAATGAGGATTTGACCAATTTTATGATCAAAATTATGAAAAGGTTTTGTGAAAGTGGTGAACAAGTTCTTAGATTTCCATGTGAGTTGACCGGATATCAAAGGAAAAGATTACATCGACAAGCAGAATTGCTGGAACTGAATAGCGTTAGTTTTGGCGATGGGGAAGGAAGATTTTTGGTTGCGATGAAGCAGGACGTTGAGTTGCTCAGATGAACAATTTGGGCTATCATTGCAGCGAAATTTTTGTACAGTAAAAATTTATTTTATGTGAAAATTTTATTTTCATTAAATTATTTGTAAATTAACATCATGATGATTTTACGTATAAATTAAATGCTGATTTTTGATATCTTTCTTAGCATCCCTTCCATGTGATGCTCACTCTACCCTCATCTTGATCTGCAATTTGCTAATATTTTGGGTAAATTGGTTAGCAAAATTTGAAAGGGGGGGCTACAAAAAAAAAAAAAAAAAGCAAGGGGAATGATTAAGATTATCTACCTCGAAAGCGGTTAAAGACATGTCTACGTCACCGCTCTTGCAAACAGGACACTAGTATCAATAAGTTCATTAGCGTAATGCTCTAGGAAGTTAGGAAAAATGCTAAATCGAAAATACCTTATCAACAATCTCAACCTTAACACTTCCTTTTGGCCCCGTTATCAGTATGCATTTACCACAAACCGGAGAATCCTCTGGATTCGCATATACCCCGTACTGTGGTGCATTCTGTGATTGTATTAGGCGTCATATATACTTTCTTGGGAAAAAAAAAAAAAGAAAAGATAAATGAGACTTTTTTCGTTCGTACCAGAGCAGCCACAAATTGGGAATCATAATTCTGCCATCCGCATGAGCCAAGACCTACACCCGGATCTTTAAAGATGTACAATGAGAAACCACCTCAAGAAAAAACAAGAACGTGTGAGTGAGTATAGATAATAAACCCACCATAATAAGTCCCATCCCCTTTGCCGCTCATTAGAAGCCCCGGACTTCCCCTGTAATTTCCCCCATTAGATTGCACCACCACTTCTGCTATTATGATAATGAGTATTGCCAAAGTAAATAGTCCAATTGTTATCAGTATCGGTACTTTATATTTCGCAGCCCTTGGGTGCTTTTCTTCCAGCCATCGGGAAAATTTGTCATAGGGAATTCGCATAACCCTACATATTGTGTTTTTTGCCCTTTGATAAGCATGTGATAATTTAGAGGGCACAGAAGAATTGGAAGGAAGATCAGGTAAAGGCTTTTGGTTTTCCAGAGACATCAGATATTTATTTATTGCGCGTTGAGATGAAGTCGTCGGATGTGATTTTTTTTTGAAAAAAGAAGAACAAGAATTGTAGCATCGACCGGAAGAAAGGTTTCGAAAATATGATTCCTTGAAAATACAGTAAAAGTTGTACATTTAAATAGGGAAATAGATAATCTTCTCTTGAAAATTCGTAAGCTGGTATTGTTAAAAGATAATATCTCTCATTCAAAGGAATAGTGTACTGTGGGTATGCACTGTATATACAAACTAAAATACAATTGATATTATGCGCTTTTGGAGAAACAATCTTGGAGAAAACAGACGTTACAAACTAAAAATACATAAAAGATTTCTCCCGAATCAAGGAAAGCCTAAGTGTTTCGAAAGAATTCGCGTGTAAAAAGTATTCCAGATACTGTACGTTAGAGAAAACGAATTGTGTTATATTATTTATTAATTTATATAATTCGCGCATTGTGTAATATTTTGTACAAATGTATGCTACAAGATAATAGTTATGGTATTAACTGTTTATGGGCATGCCTGCATACAGAATTACAAAAAGACATGGACAATCACGTTTCGTCTACTCACAAATGATGTGTGAATATCGTCATTGACGAATGCTGCTACGTCGGACAAGATGCACGGATTTTTAAGGTCGAAAGAACCTTCGGCGAGAATTATTCATGTTGTAGCTAATTTGCCAGAGTATGGGCGATGAATAATAAACCAAAAATGTTTCATATTCACTTGTTCATTATTCAAAGTCCAAGTAAGTAAGAACAATGCATTTAGATCGAACTTTCTTCGCGACTGTTAATAGTCGATCACAAAAATTATTTTGAACCACCATCCTTAAAATAGTTAGCCTATTCTTGGAAATTCAAGTTTCTGGTCATGCTGGCTAAAATTATTGAGTGCATGTACAATCTAAAAATAAATTTACTTTGTAATTTAATTCTCCGGAAGAAAAACGTTTAAGGGTTCATCATTCATTGATTCGTACGTCCTAAAACAAAGTGACCACCCATATCGGACTCCCGACTTCTAAATGCAAAATCTACACAGGAAAAGGAGTAAAGAAGTGCGACAGAGCAATCGAACTTTCCCAGATAAGTTTGTCGCACAACCTAGAAAATAAATCAGCTGGTAAAGACCCCGGACAGATTCCTCCGTCCCAGAAAAAAAAAAAAACCTATAAAAAAGGTGTACGTCATTTCTGAAAAATTCAATCTACACACTTCTTGCCTCACAACTTGACATTTCCTCTGCGACACCTTGATTTTAACAAAAATGTCTCAAGCAGCAACCACCAGCGCAGAATTTAAGAAGAAATCTAGTTTTGGTCGATTTATTCGAATCTTTAAAAGATTGGGCCGCAAAACCAAGGAATGCAAACCAATATGCCAGTCATTAGGATGCGAAAATATGTGCAAGAGAAGAAAAGATATATATTGCAGCGTATGTAGTGCGGCTGCTAACAAAAATTCATCACCGTTAATAATCGTTTCACAAGGAAGCACTGCTAACACCGTTGCTACAAACGATTTGCATCCTATTCCCACGAACAACAACTCGGCGATAAGTATCGTCGCAAGCGAAGGAAGCATTTCGTGTAATAGTAGCTTGGACATTCAAAACCCACAGGGGTTGGGTGTTTCTTCCCCTTTCGCTTCAAATTCTCAGAATTCTTTTAGTAGCAAAAAATCAGGTGTTACACATGATTCTGCTTATGAAACTTGCACGGAATTAGACACTGAGACGGACACTGTGCGAAACAAAAAATTCCGATTTCGACCACCACCCCAGACCATAATGAGTAAATTAAATTCACGTTCTCATGAATATGTTTCGATTGAGAAATTATTTAAGATCGGGGCTCCAAAGTACCAGATCATAGGAATAATACGTTTGCAGATGCCAGCTAACCTTGTGAATGCTCATGAGAAATACAAAGCGAAAGTTGCTAGTCAAAATCATCGTTCCAAATCTGAGGTGACTCATCGTATGTTCCATGGTACCAAAACCATCAGACCTTGCAATCCTGAACGGTTCCTTAAGGATAAATCGCCGTCATTCTGCGCATCTGGTTGCGGAGGGTGTGGCATTGCTCAATATGGAAATCAAACCAAATACTCTAATTATTCGAATAGTACGTATCACGTGTCACCATTATTATCCCTTTCGTTCTACTAAATCATTCTTTATCTTTTTTTTTAAAAAAAATAAAGGAATGTGGTTTGCAAGTAATTCGGGCGTGTCTCTTGGATATTGTGATCCAAGCAACACAAGGGTCATGTTTGTCGTCAGCGTTGTCAATTCCGTTGCTGGTTCTATATTGGTCGTCGATAAAGATGAGGTACCCGTACCTTTCTCAATCTTCTATTTCATTTCCGTGCGAGTGAATTTCTCAACGTTCGTTATTTTTTTCTAGGCCACTATTCCTGAGTATATGATCATATTTAAATAAATAAACAACGGGCAGGGAAGTCCCATCTGGTGGAGTCGCCTTCGACATTGCCATAACACTGATTATATAACGTCAATCCATACCTACATTAATTTATTACTTCTCTTGTTAATTGTATCTAATCTATTGCCCTTCCTACTGTCTAATTAGATAAGATCCCGATGTAACGACTTCATCTTGTATTATTTTTTTCTATTGAGATGCCCCACCGGGTGGGGCGTATCTGTATTTCTACTATTTTATAAATATGGTGGTTATGTAAATAGATTACCGGTTTTATTTCCATTCACATGATTACAAGCCAATAAAGGATACATATCTATTTATAAACGGAATTTTGCGTGTAGCGTTTGGTCCAACCTAAAGATACAATATCGCCCAAACATGATGTCACCGCATTTTGGATTTCAAGGGAGGTTTTTTTTTCTATCTTATGCCACACTACCCGATAGAAGCTTTTTAAGAAGAATAAATGCAGAATCGATGAATCAGCCTTTTCATATTTGACCTGGGAATATCGTAATTATTGCTACACTTGATAGCAAATACCCCATAATAATCGACAAATCTGGTTAATAAAATTTCTGGTATACTGTATTTCTAACCAATCAAAGTTAAAATTTAATATAGCTATTACCATCCCGAATATCTTTATCAGTTTTAAGTGCATCCTTGATTATCTGAGGTATTGCATTAAAAATCACTAGTACGGCACAATTATATTATAGTTACGTATTTGGTGATTGGAATAGCTCGAAAATTTCTATTAAATTAAGCAGAACCTTGATTTGAATGATTAGCAGGCTAATTATGTGAGATTCCTTTTATAGAATTGATTATTGCATACTATATATACAGTATATACAGTATATACAGTATATATAATTTCTAACTTTAAATCGAAAAGCAAAAGATATAGTATATTGTAATATTTTAAAAAATTTTTTTGTGAATTTTCTAATAACACACAAAAAAGATATTTACAAGAATTTTATGTTTCTATGTTAACAAAGTCTTATTACTCTTCTTAAAACATCTTGAAAAATAATTTCAAAAATTGTTTTGATTCTTTCTTTTCTTTTTTTTTTTTTTTTAGTACCCGTAGCCAGGCTAGATCGTCAGTTTATTAATCAAATGAAAACAAAAGTACATTTTCATTTGAGCAGCATGATACATACTACAGCTAAACTATTATTCTAATCTAACTAACTC